CTGAAGGTAGGGTCAATGGCATCAATGGGCCTTTCCCCTTTCTTTCCTTTTGCTTTCTGGAACTCTAGAGAAGGGAAAGAATTTTCTTTGTTACCCCATAGAACCTAGAAAACTAATTCCAGGAACTTTAATGTAGAAGTTGTACTAATTTTCTTGCTGTGACAGGGCTGCTCAAACAGGATGTTAGGAATGAGGGCGCACAGAAGTGTGGGTTTAATTACGGAATTGCTTAAAGGAGAGTTTTAATAACCTTGGTGTTTGAGTCTCTCCGGAATTCAAATGTTTGTTTCCTCATATGGTGCAGGTAACGCCCCTGGGCCGAAAGGAGATCAAGGCAAAGGACCTTCTCCGCCAGCTCCAGCTGGAAGCTGAGGAGCAGAGGAAGCAGAAGAAGCGTCAGAACGTTTCTGGATTGCACAAGTCAGTGTTCTGACCTCTTCTTGGTTTTTCTTCGGGTGAAGTTTGGTAACATACATTTGTAGGGAAAAGCAGCACCAGAGAACGTGTGCTGAGGTGTAATGTGAAGCACGTTCTGTAGTGGTGGTGGGGCTAACGAACCCTGCGCGAGCATTAGGGGTTGAGATGAGAAACACTGAGCTGAACTTCTGCACAAAGAGTGACCTGGAGTGAAACAAGGATGATGAGAGCCTTCCGTTGTTTCTGGTTGCATCAGGAGCAAATTACTGTCTTATAAATTATTCTTAGAGGTGCCAAATATTTGTAGAATAGCCAACAGAAGGGAAACAAAGAGGAAAGAAGTGTATGCTGTGCACGTTCAGTAAACTGAGCAAATCTGAGGAGCAGTAAGTCTGGATTTGGGAAGAGATGAAGTTTGAAGCAGGGTTTACTGCTCAGGCAGAGATCACCACCCACATCCCTCACTGACGTGGTTGGGGGAATGTGCCAGGTACAGTCGTTTCAAGAGAAAAACTCACTAATGTTAAACCCATATGTTGTTTATATTGCACTTATTTAATAAAATTGTTTAGTGAGTTTGGGCGTTTTCCAGCTGTTAGAGCAGAAATGGGTACAGGGTGGGGAGGAATCGTGGTTTATCCGTACCGTGCCCCGCAGTGATGAGATCTGCCTGAAAGGAGGGTGCAGCCGGGGGGGATCGGTCCCTTCTTCTAAGGAACAGGTGATGGGACACGAGGAAATGGCCTTAAGTTCACGGAATCATGAATTGTTGGAGTTGGAAGGGACCTTCTAGAGATCATCCAGTCCAACTCCCCTGCCAAAGCAGGGTTGCCCAGAGCACATCACTCAGGAGCATCCAGGTGGGGCTTGAAGATCTCGACAGAAGGGGACTCTACACCCTCCCTGGGCAGCCTGTTCCAGGGCTCTGCCACCCTCACCACAAAGAAGTTCTTCCTCATATTGGAGAGGAACTTCCCATGTTCCAGCTTGTGCCCATTGCCCCTTGTCCTGTCCCTGGGAACCACTGGAAAGAGTCTGGCTCCATCCTCCCTCAAACCACCCTTTAGACACTTGTCAGCATTAATGGGGTCTCCCCTCAGCCTTCTCTTCTCCAGGCTGAAGAGTCCCAGCTCTCTCAGCCTTTCCTCATCAGGGAGATGCTCCAATCCTTGAATCATCTCTGTTGCTCTACGCTGGACTCTCTCCAGTAGTTCCCTGCCTCTCTTGAACTGGAGAGCCCAGAACTGGACACAGGATTCCAGTTGTGGCCTCCCCAGTGCAGAACAGAGGGGGAGAATTACCTCCCTCCACCTACTAGCCCCACTCTTCCCTATGCAGCCCAGGATCCCAGTGGCCCAAGTTGTGGGCAAGTTGTTCAGATGGGATATTAGGAACAATTTTGACATGGAAAGGGTTATTGAGCCTTGGAATGGGCTGCCCAGGGAGGTGGTTGAGGCACTGTCCCTGGAGGTGTTCGAGACGGGTTGATGCGGTGCTGGGGGACATGGTGCTGGGGGAGGGACATGGTTTTTTTGTCAGAGTTGGGTTGATGGTTGGACTCGATCATCTTGAAGGTCCCTTCCAACCTAGAAGATTTGCTTTTTGTTTGTTGTGCGGGTGTTTATTTTTGTCAACATTAGGTTGACGGTTGGACAAGATGATCTTGAAGGTCCCTTCCAACCTGGAAGATTCTGTGATCCTGAGTCTATACGATTCAAAAGCCGGGTTGACATAGTGCGTAGAGACGTGGGTTAGTGATGGGTTTTATCAGGTTGATGGTTGGATTTGATGATCTTACAGGTCCCTTCCAACCCGGACAGTCCCGTGATTCTACGATCCCGGGGTTTTAGCGTTAGAAGTGTCGCTTTCCCGCTTTATTCCCTCTTTATTCCCGCTTTATCCCCGGTCGGTGGCTCCGTGAGGCGGCGGGGCGGGCCTGGGC